GAAGCCCCCCTCCCTTTCAAAGGGAAGCCCAGGCTAACCTGGACTCTGGAAAAAGGGAGGGGGGTCAGCTGCGAACGGATGGAGGGGGGCTAGCTTCCGAAGCCCCCCCCCTTGGAAGGTAAGCGCGGGCTGGCCTTGGGCTCCGGGAAAGCCATGGCAAAACAATCCCAGCTGCGAAAAGGAGGGGGAGGTAGTTTCCGAAGCCTCCCCTCCTTTGAAAGGGAAGCCTGGGCACCTTTGGCCACGGAAAGGGGGGGGGGAGGGCCCCCCCCCCTCTTTAGCGAGGGCCCCTCCAGCTAAAAAAATGCCACAACAAGGAGGGAGGGGGGTAGCTTCGGAAAGCTCCCACCCCCCCGTTTCCAAGGGAAGGGGGGGTGTAGCTTGAAGCTGGGGCCCCCCTTTTAGTGATAGGTGGGCCGCAACCGCGCTCTTTCACGCCTTTGCCATGGCGACCATTGCGGGCGCAGTTGCGATAATGGACGGGTCATCTTATGGTGGTACTAGGTCGGCGGGGCATTGGGATATGATTAAGGTTATGGTGTGATGGGTGCTAGGCGTTGAGGCTCTACAGTGCCCATGTGCTAAAATCCGCAGATTTGGCGCGAAAGCAGCCTGAGCTTCGGCTCTGCCGAGGGGCTGGGTGCTGGGGGGGCTCTGCCAGGGTGATAACAGGGGTGGGTGGGTGGGGGGGAGGGCGAGGTCCAAACGCCGGGCAAGGCGTCGGGCTGCGGAAGGAGGGTGGGCGAGGTCCGAACTCCTGGCGGGATGGGGGAGAGGGAGTGGGGGCGAGGTCCGAACTCCTGGCGAGGCGGCGGGCTGGAGAGAGGAAGAGGACGGGGGCAAGGACCACATGCCTCGGGGGGCGTCGGACTGGGGAGAGCGGGGGCAGGCGGGTGTGCTCCAAATTCCCGGCGGGGCTGCCCCCGCTCCAGGCGTGATCGCACACGCGTGTTCTTGCCGGCCAGAAGCCACATCAAGCAATACCATGCGGGGACGTGCGCGGGCCCACGCGCGTGAATGTCAGACTCGTTCAACAGCGCCTGGTCTTCTAACACTTCCAATCTCGATTCCCTCAACAACTGTTGCGAAGCCTTGGTGCTCAGCAACAGCTTGCCAGATTTCTGCGCGCGCTCTAGCTGAAATCAAGAGCAGACCGGGCTTGCCACTCTGTCGGGTGAGACCATGCGGGCGGCACGTTCACGAATGTTGAGCGCATGAAGCAACCATCGCGCACCCTCCCACAATGCTAACCCAACACCATGCGGGTGACGCGCGTGTCTCCGCGCACGCACGTCGAAATCCTTACACAACGAATGGCTTCTGAGCGGGTCAGCACAGACGTGTCCCACCGCACATGACAGCCGCATGGCTGTGAACTATCTTGCCTGCCGGGCTTTCGGAATTTCTGTGCGAGTGCACTTCCTTATCACCCTCATCATCACCATCGTTAGAATTATCGCAAGCGTCAGCGTTGCGCCCGTTATAACCATGATCTTTGCCACCATCGCCATCGTCGTCGTCGTTCCTGCCGTCGTCACTAGCACCGTCAATGTCATCATCACCATCACCATCACCATCACCATCACCATCACCATCACCATCACCATCACCACCACCGCCACCATCATCATCGACATCATCATCATCATCAACATCATCATCATCATCATCATCATCATCATCATCATCATCATCAACATCATCATCATCACCACAATCATCATCACCATCATCATCCTTAGCATCACCCTCCTCATCATCCTCACCATCATCCTCAGGAGGAGCAGGGGCGGATCCTCATCCTCATCCTCATCCGTGCTTCGGTGCGGATCGTCTGCGCGCCTCGTTTCTGTCGTCGTCGTCGTCGTGGTCGTGGTGCGTTTTGCTCTGCTCGGGACTTGTCTTCCTTTTGCAGTGACCACTACCACCACCGCCATCCTCATCCTCATTCTTCCATTATCGTCATCCTCATCATTATTATCATCATCGTCGTTGTCGTCATCATCATCATCATCATTCACGCTGTTGCCGACCTCAACGCCATTCAACATCGCAAGCGTCGCCATTGCCACCGTCATCACTGTGAGTTTCACAGCCATCACCGTCGCCGTCGTTATCATCCCACCGCACACATCGCCATCATGACCATCGCCAGCATCACCATCATCGCCATCACCATCAACATCATCATAATCAGCATCATAACCATAACAGTCAGAACACTAGTCATCATAATAATAACCATCATCACCGTCACCATCACCATCATCATCATCAGCAACATAACCATCACCATCACAATCACCATCGCCATTACCATCATCATCATCATCATCATCATCATCATCATCATCATCATCATCATCATCATCACCGTCATAATCATCATAATCACCGTCAGCATCGTCATCATCATCATCATCACCATCATCATCATCATCAACATTATCGTCAGTGTCATCGTCATCATTCTCATCGTCGTTGTCGCCACCTTCGTCGCCGGCGCACCCATCATCATCATCATCATCATCATCATCATCATCATCATCATCATCATCATCATCATCATCATCATCATCATCATCATCATCATCATCGTCATCGTCATAATCATCATCATCATCAACACGCGTCCACCCGAGTCACGGACCTTAATGATAAGGGTCCTCGGGTCATTCCGCCAGTTGAGTTTTGCCAAAAAGTTGCGTGTCTGTGGGTGAGATGGTTGCACGAGCATTGGAGGTGACCACGTGCAGATGCCAACGTGTGTATACCATCCTTTGGACTGCGCTCCAAATAGTGCACACTATCCTTTGCACAGAGTCGCTGTTTTGGGTCCTCGCGCTGGCACGTGAAATCATAGGCCAATAATACGACAACTGTCAGAAACCGGAAACGAAGAATCTCTGGCCCCTGCTAGCTAGTCGCTCGTGCGGGCTGGACCACGCCGGCGGGGTCCGCTCACAGCCACTGGGCACCCGCCCAGCTCGCCAAAGGGGCGGCGAAGAACTGCGGCTGGAAGATGGCTTGGGCCAACTACGGAGAGCGCTCATACGCAATGCATAGGTGCGTTGCCCAGGCATTCGCACGGGAACGCCAAAGGTGCAGAAGCCTGCGTGCATACAAAGGGGAAGGCATTGGATGGCTGAACAAGGAGACCACACATTTTCTCCGCCCATCCGCTTTCAGGACATCTGGCGACAACGAATTTCGCAACACGAATACGAAATATTATTGACGAATGGGGTGATGCACATGCATTGGACGCGCACGCATACACTTCCATACAACACGCACGTATAGGATCAGGATCATACATATTCAAAAACCTGTTCACCTCCGCATCCAGATCCGCATTCAACACACGTCCACGTACACATTCACGTCCACACCCAAATCCATGTCTTCGCGCAGGATCCTGAAGGGCACCTGCTGGAAGGGCGATTCCGTATCCGCGGCGCTGGCTTTGTTGGCGGAGTTCGGGGAGAACGCAGAGACTACAGAGGGGGTGGGGCGGCCGAGCAACGGCACGCTCAGGAGAAGCCACGGGGAGGAGCGGAGAGGATGTGTACGGAGAAGCACGATTGAAAGGAAATCAAATCCGTCCTTTGAGTAGCCTGCCCATCGTCAGCAACCACCTGCGGGCAGAGGAGGAAGAGGAGATACAGGGTAGGGGGAGGGAGAGATGAAGGAGATAGCGAAGAGAAGGGTACTGGCGTGAGCGAGGTGAGTGAGGATGGCGAGAGGTATGAAATCACGGAAAGGTGGAGGGCAAGGAGGAAGACTGGGGTAAGGAAACAAGGATCTGATCTGCTACCCTCCTGCCTCCGCCACATGCTGGCCTGGTGCTCTGGCTGCTGCCTCCTCAACATCAACTGGTGCTCTCCGCTGCCGGCTCAATCTCTTCTTCCTCCTCTCCCTCCCCCCTCCTACACTTCCTCCTTACGCCTGTGCCGTCCCCTGCTCGCGCCTGTCTCCCTTCGCCTCGTTCTTCCAATGCTTCTCACCTCGACCTTGCTCTGCTCTTTCCCTTGCCCGTCGTCTCCACCGTTTTTGGAGTGCTCCTGAAACGCTGCGGCGGTTTTTGGCTGTTGCAGTCCTCGGGCCTTGGTGAGCGGGAGCCCGCCCACTTTTTCGGGCAAGGGCTTGAACACCATCGCGTAACAACTTGCCCCTGTGCATCAAGCCCGCCGCGGCCACAAGGCCCACACAAGCGAATACGTGGGCCATGGGTTCGTTCGACGTCCTCGGAGAAGGAGCAAAGAGCGACGCTAATGCTGCAATTGACGCACATGGTTCAGCTTTGGTAGCGAGGGTGGCGTTGTTGTAAATAAGACAAGGCGCGAATGAAGCATGATCCAAACCATCGGACTCCGCGCGATCATGATTCGGGTGGCTTCTCTGGGGCCCTCCACTCTGGACCTCGACCTTGGATAACTAGACTTTTGCCTTGCTGTGACGCCAATGGGAAACACTGGAATTGTGTGCTGATGTAATTGCAGCAACGCCTTCCCTCACCGCGTTCAAACACCACATGTCAGTGTGGCTATCCCAAGTGGGTGATAGCCAATGCATAGCGGGTGAAACGATCCAACGGCTTCGATGGCGTCATCATCCGCTCCTGATGGTCAGCCTGGGACGCACGAACATCTTCCTCGTGCTCATCACATCTTTGTGCTTTCGTCACCTTGCGATAAAGCCCCGTCTAGTCCACCAGGGGGCGCACGGGCATCTCGATGGCATCTTTACACTTCGTTCTCCCATCTTCCCGATCTGTCTGCTGCTTCCTCCTCGCCCCGCTGTTGGCCGCCACCGCCAACTGATTCCAAGTGGCCTCTTTCGCGCGGGGGAGGTAAGGAGGAGAGGAAGCGGGGGAGGAGCAACCGCTGCCCTCGCTCATTCTCCTTCTGGCTCCGAACCCTCGCCCCCTCATCTTTTATCCTCTTCCTCCTCCTCCTCCTCATCTTCCTCATTCTGACCCCCTCTCCAAGAAGGGGGACCATGGAACAGGCCTCGACTGCACGCTGTCGAGCTTCTGCATTAGCAGCAGTCCCTCCTGTCCAGCAGGACACTATGTGCAAGGAGGCATGGGCCAGGGATACTTCCAGGATAAGAAACAGGAGGCGAGGGCTGAGAAGAAGCCAGAGGGAAGGAAGTGCGCGATTGGAACAGGGGAGGGCGGAGGAGGCGATCCTAGGGGGACCTCTGCCCGACCCAACACGTATTGGTAGCTTGCATGACATGTATTGTCATCTCCAACGAAAGAATAGAGTCTAGCCCCCCCCCCCCCCCCCCCCCCCCCCCCCCCCCTCCGGTTTTATCACCCCGTTGGGGCACCACACGATACTCATGACTCTGCCATGTCGTTCATTTAATGTATGAATGCATTCCCCTCCTGCGGAGTTCCCTTATCGCACCCCCATGTCCCTGTCCGCCCCTGTCAAATAATACCATGCGCGCGCAATTGTTTACGGCACAAAGTTGTTGTTCAAGAACTCATTGCAAAACATGACATCAAATCCACACGCGCGCGTCGTCGCGCGCGCGTCCCGAAATCCTTCCAACACCTTAATCGCACTCGTAGGGATTCCAACGTCGAGGTTCTAGAATCTGTAAGGCAAACCAATGACTTTCACCATTTCCAAAACAAGTTGCGCGCGCGCTCTTGCGAGTTTTACTCCATGAAACCACGCGGGTTTCGCGCGCGCATGTCAAAATCATTCGAACGCCCTTGCGCGATTACTCCTCCTCGAATAACACCATGCGGGCCACGCGCGCGCGTCGGCCGCACGCGCATGTAGAAATCCCCCCAACACTGTGGACATCGTCATCGTCGTGAGCGTTCTCAACATCAGCGCCGTCATTGGCCTTGCCGTCGTCATCGTCATCATCGTCGCCACCATCGCTACTATCATCATCATCGTTGCCGCTAAGGTCGTCATCATGATACTGCGCCGGCCCGAGCCACCCAACCACCAGCATTGAAGAGCCCACGTGCCAACGCGGCCTTTGACGCACGCTGGGAAGTCCCCGTCGGTAAGCGCCATCGCGGCCGCATCGGCTGCGCCAAACCAGCTGGCCGCTCTGCGCGCGGGCTTGCGCGCGCCAGTGCAACGGCAGAGACGCGCCAGCCATGGGCAAGCAGTCGTCGCAATCGCTGCCGCATGGGTATTGCAGGCCAAGTCCCAGGTGGGAGGATAGGATGATTGCGCGAGCAGTGGAGTTGTCTACTTCAAGTTTTGGAAGGTGGATTGCGCCGCGTAGCTTGCACCACGTACCTTCCATAACGCATACACACATAGAACACCGCATAGGGATCACCACATAGCTTGCGCCACACAGCTTACGGCACATAGCTATACATAGCTTGCACCGCATGGCCTGCGCCGCATAGCTTGCACAACGCAGCTTACACCGCATATCTTGAACCACATTTCTGGTACCACATATCTTGTAATACTCAGCTTGCATCACATAGTCCACACATCCACTGTGCAGTAACTCTCGGCTCGGGGCCCACGCTGGGAAACGAATCGCAGGGTTCTCGCCTTTTCGGCTTCAAAACGCCCAAAACAACCCAAGAGGCCCCCAAGATGGCCCGAATACGTTCAAAGAGGCCCCCAATATTCCGCCGCCGCCGCCGCCGCCAGCGGGGAGCCGGCAGCGGCGGCGGCAGCGGCAGCTGCAGCGGCCGCCGCCGCCGCCGGAGGGGAGCCGGCGGCGGCGGCAGCAGCGGTGGCGGCGGCGGCGGCGGCAGCAGTGGCTGGCCGCGGCGCCGGCGGCCGCGGGGGCGGCCGCGGCGGCGCCGGCCACCGCGCCCTCCGCCGCCGCCGCCGCCGCCGCCGGCGGGGATCCGGCGGCGGCGGTGCCGCGGCGCCGGCGGCCGCGGGGGCGGCCGCGGCGGCGCCGGCCACCGCGCCCTCCGCCGCCGCCGCCCGCCGGCGAAGAGCCAGCGAGCCGGCAGCGGCGGCGGTAGCGGCAGCGGCGGGGCAAGCGGCCAGCGCGGCGCCAGCCGCCCCCGCGGCGCCACTGGCGCCGGCGGCGCAGGCGGCGCCCGCGGGGGCCGAGCTGGGGCGGCCGCCGGCCGCCTCCCGACGGCGGCGGCGGCGGCGAAGGCGACGGCAGCGGAGGGCCGCCAAACCCTGGCGGGGCGTCCCGCCGCGCCGCCGCCAGCCGCTGACGGCGGCGCAGCGCGGCCCCAGAGAGGGCTGCCCCGAAGGCGGACATGGCCCCGGCCCGAGCGCGCACCTGAGAGGGGCGGGCTTGAGCCGAGACGGTTTGAGCCTTGAGCCAGAGGGGGCTTGAGCCAATGGCTACGGTTTGGTGGGGATACGCGAAGCGTCAAGACTTACACCATACACGGGGGGTAATATAGTTTTGACCATAAGACGTCGTGCTCTCGACGCCCGCTGCCCCCCCGTAGAACCTTAGCGACATGTTTTGGGTCGGGCGGCGGTTCGACTCCGATGGGCTCTCACCCTGTAAGAATATAATATATATATATATATACATATAGATAAACAGCGTGATAATTACCCCGTCCCATTTTAAATAGGGCCGGAAAACACTCCGACTTGAACCCATTCACAGTGTACCACTCCGCTTGGGTCACGTTTGATCGTCCCTGTCATCGTCCCCATCGACCCTGTCCTTATCATGCCAACGGGATGTTTCATTGCATTCCTTGTTGCATTGATGCTGTGAGACCCTGGGCGTCCTTCTCCAATGCGGTCGCTCTCGGTTCACTGGTTGGCCGTCCCAGAGGGCCCACAAAGGCTCGCGAATCCGCATCAAGGCACCTTTGCATCCTGATCGGTCCTCCGCGGCACGCGTGACCAGCGAGGCAATTCTCATCTTATGGTCAAAAACTTTAGTACCCCCGAAGTATTCGTGCCCCCGAAATGACAACCCTTGTGAATTACACTAGATTCGCGCCCCCAAGGCGGCGATCCCGTTCAAACTACGGCAGATTCGTTCCCCCGAAGCCACGATCTTTTGTAAATGACGTCGCGATTGCCAGCCGTTCCATGAATTGCCCATGTTGCTTCAAGTCGGCGCCCCGGCATCCCGACATAGCTCTGACATATCCCATTACGATAGAGAGGGGGCCGGCGGCAGAGGGCGTAGCCCCGACGTGTATATATATACATATATATTTATATATATATATATATTATTATTATAAACATTTTCCCTACCTAGGCTCTGCCTAGAAGGGTTCTCACTTTATATGCTTAAAGGGCCGGGCAGTGTTGCCCGCCCTGGGCGGTTCCCCCGGCATCCGCCCCGCGGTTCCCCCAGTGACGTTCCCTTAGCTGAGCGTTGCTGATCTCATCTTAGCTTAGCTTATTCCCTACCTAGGCTCTGCCTAGAAGGGTTCTTACCGTGTTGGCTTAAAGGGCCGGACAGTGTTCCACGCGCCAGGCGGTTCCCCCAGGATCCGCCCCGCGGTTCCCCCAGTGACGTTCCCTTAGCTTAACGTTGCTTATATAATCTTAGCTTAGCTTATTACATCTTAGCTTAGCTTAGCTTCATCTTAGCTCAGGTGTATCTTAGCTTAGTTTACCTTCATCTTAGCTTCGCCGAGCTTTAGCATAGCAGAGCACAACATAGCATAGCGCAGCACAGCACATCATAGCAAAACCCAGCATAGCATAGCATAGCGCAGCATAGCATAGCATAGCATAGCACAGCACAGCACAGCACAGCCCAGCACAGCATAGCGCAGCTTAGCATAGCATAGCATAGCTTAGCATAGCATAGCGCAGCATGACATAGCATAGCTTCGCATAACATAGCATATCATAACATAGCGCAGCATGTCATAGCATAGCATAGCATGGCATAGCGCAGCATAGCATAGCATAGCAGAACAACCAATGCTGCTTTCCTAGGGGCTCCAACTTCTAGGTCGGGTCGCACTGGGGTAATTATATACACATGTATATCTATACATACATATATATATATGTAGGTTTGTATGTATCGCCACACAGAAGTTTACCGGATCGCTGCGATTCGCCGTTGCAATCTTGGTCGCGTGGCGCCAACGAGGTGCGCTGCGATCGCCATTGCCGTCAAGTAGTAATGGGGGAAGTGGGCGGCGCGGTCCCGGAGCTGTTAGAGGTGGGGGGCGCCACGGGTCTGCAAGGTCCCCTGGAGGCTCTGGGGCGCACGAAGTTTGTATTGTTCATGAGGGTCACATGGTTGTATGTCTCATGGACTTTTAACGGCATACGAAACTCATCGGTTTCAGCAAGACTGGGGAGTTCCATGGGTTCATGTTTCATGGGGCTGGGGCTGGGCTCGAGGTGGATCTGGGGCTCGAGCTGGAGCTGAGCCGGAGCCGACGTTGGAGCTGGAACTGGGGAGCTCATGCAAGTGCTGCTACAGCGCCCCGTTCTCCTCCTTTCTCCTCCTCCTCCTCCTCCTTCTCTGTCTCCTCCTTTCGGAAAATACAAAACGGTGGACGGTTGGATCGGGGCACAGCAACTCCATCCTGGGAGAGGAGTTCTGACAACATGGAAAGCATGATTACCCCAGCAAGGCCTCCTAATAGCAGTAAAGGTGACCTAAGGGACCTGGTGTACCTGTGGGACCCGTGGGATTACCGAACCTGCGGCACCTGTGGGACCTGGTGGGCCCATGGGACTTGCGAAACCTGTGGGAATTGCGGGACATTCGACACCTCCAGTTGGACTTGTGGGACCCGTGGGACCTGTTGTGCATGTGGAGCCCACGAGACGTGCGACACTTGTGGGACCTGTGGGACCTGTGCAATTTGCGCGACATGCGAGACCTGTGGAATGTGTGGGTCCTCCGAGACCTGTAAACCTGTTGGACACGTGGGCCTGTGGGGCCAGTGGGTCTTGTAAGACCTGCGAGATCTGCGGACTTGTGGTACCTGTTGGACCTGTGGCGCCTGAAGGCGGGACCTTGGACACGTGTGCGGCCTGTTGGACCTGCGGGACCTTTGGGACATGTGGGACCTGTGCGACTTGTGGGACTTGTGAGACTTGTGGGGCCTGGGGGACCTGCGAG